TTTTCTCTCTGCTGACAGTGGTTAGCCTCTATTCATCATTCAGGTTATAGTGAAACTGCTTAAGGAAACCATTATTTACCCTCCAAGACTGAGCCAGGTAGCCCTTCAGTGTACCCCCCAAACACTCAATAATTTTCCCCATCACAGCTTACTGTGCCCCCCAGTAGACTCTTTACATCCTGAGTACATGGATGATTTTCACTTTATTTACCATTTCAACCTCTCTTCCTAGCTTAATGCCCAACAAACTTGATGTACTCAGTAACACTTGATAAATTATTAACTAAAGGCATGACCTCCACTAACTTTTTTACCTTTCAACTCCTCACATATCTAATCCTTTCAATTTTCTTTCCTTTCTCATCATCCCCTGAGATTGTGACTCATATAAATAGTTGGGTGGTCACACAGTATTCCCAAATTTATATGAATATCTCATTTAATAATAAAAATTCAACTAATTTTGCACACTATAATCTAATAAACCTTCATCCACAGGCATGGCCTATGGTTCCAAATATCTTTTGGATTCAGTCTTCTGTTACGTTCCATACATACCTTTACTGCTCTCAGAAATTCTCTCAGAAATTCTCCATATTTAATGTATCCTCTGCTCTCAAACTTTCCAATTAGTACATAGTTCCCACTGGCCAAAATACCCTTCTTCTCTTTATCCTTTAATTATTGGCTCTTATGTTCCTCTGAACTTTTCCAGGTAATGTTCCTCATACAATCTCAAAATAGAAAAATCTCAGATGGAAGGTCTCACAAGGACAAACACCATGGGTATAGGTAGGAATGATTAATGAATCTTAAATTGGCTATGGAAGTTTACAGGAAACTGAAGGAGTCAGAAAAGATTAGCAGCCATAGGGGCAAATCTTAGAATACCAGCCCAATCTGACCCAAGACAGTAATTCCCACAATAATTCCATCAAACAACACTATAAAAGAACACCCCTATTCTGGAAAATGCAGTTCTTGTCTTTTAAGTCTGTCCAACTGTGTCTATGCAAGCACCTTTCCCCTTTTCCTCTTTCCTCAATATACTTGTGGTGTGCTGATGAATGGGAATGTCTACTGTACTCTTTCTGAGAACCCCCACCAAACCCCATCTTCTGAACCCCAACATTTCCACAGCATTCAATTCCTATTTCTATTGTAGAACTTTGTTATGGTATTTTAAAATTATGCCTAACCATCTAAATGTCTGCTTTGACAGACTGGGTTCCTAGATAAAAGAATATCTCTCTTTAATGCTTATGCCACCAGTACTCCATTGTCTATTACAAAATCAGTCATAAATACTTGCCAAATGAACTATATTAAGTTTCTAATAATTAATAGACAGAGGTAGACTGAAAAGGATTGCCTAAACTGTTTCCTAAGGATTATCAGTTTCGGGCCCTCCCTGGTGGCGCAGTGGGTTAAAGCACAGCACTGAGAATCTAAAGCTGCTTCCGCATGAGTTCAATTCCCACCTGCCCCGGAGGTGACCACATGGTGTGGCAGACCTCTCCTGACCCGCCTGCTGCTCCCCTCAGCAGTGTACTTCCTCGATCTGCCTGTTCTGTTCCCCACTCTGTCTCTGGTGAAGCAGGCAGGAATCGAACTCATGCGGAAGTGGCTTTTGCTTCTCAGTGCAGTGCTTTAACCTGCTGCGCCACCAGGGAGGGCCCTCTCTGTTTTTTTTTTTAATGGCCAAATAACATTCCTGTGTGTGTGTGCACCTGTGCATCGCATACCTCGTAACTCCAACCATAACACCATAACACCAATGATAATGAAATGTAATTACATGAGGTAGTGGGCGTGTTAACTAGCCTCACTGTGGTCAGCATCTCACACCGCCCATGAGCCTCTGGCCTGTACCCCAGTTCTGTATGCACAAATAAGTAAATCTTTAAAAAAAAAAGAAAAGATTATCAGTTTCTTTGTGTCTGTAGCAGGCAGAGTAAACACTTTCAATTCTTTTTCTAAAACTAAAAATTCAGTGTATGGAAGCACAAGAAGTGTAAAAAGAACATCCATTGCCAAAGGACAATTGTGGGTCTGTGTTCAGGTCCAAAGGAGGAACACCAGGATGAGGTGAGGTTTGGGTAATCTTTCAATCCAAGGGATCCTAACCCAACCCTGAGATTATCATAATCTTAATCCTTAGTGTAGTAACTCTAAGCAAGACCTATCCAGTTTAATTCAGTTTTCATGGCCACCTAACATAACCTCTAACCAGACAGCTAAAGAAGAACCCAAGTGATTCCTGTCAAGTGCTTTTGGAAACAAGAAATAGAATGACTTGCTATTTGTTGCTTTGTTTCTGTGTAACTAAAATATTCTTGAAGATGTTACTCCCAAGTTATTAGATTATGCATAGATAGCACTAATATGAACTTCAAATCCTTCCCAATCCTAATGTACTGAGACAATGCCTAATGTACAAAACTCATTGCCAACATTCAGTGTTCTACTTTCTTGTTAAGTGAACACTTGCCCTCTGCAATCTTTACTGGGCCTCCTTTAATTTGGAGTTGATATAATTTTATTTTCAAAAGATGATACATATTTCTGCTGCTTCCCTGTAAGCAAATTCTGTAACAAAGGAAAAATGGGGTGTGGGGAGGGAAGAACAACTTTTAAATAGCCATTACTGAGAAATATGATACCACCTTCCGCTGGCAAGTATGATGTCTTATAAAATCTAGTTTCAGAAGGAAGGATAAGCATTAGGGAGAAGAGAAAAAAGAAGTATATGAAAAACTGGTATTTAGTCAGTAAAGCAAGGAGAGATTCGCCAAGGTATTCAGAACGCAAAGAGCAAGGAGACATAACAAAGGTACATTAAAAAAAGAAAAACAAGGAAAAGATTTCTGTCTGGGATAAGAGCTGCCAAGAATCTGAGCTTGGGGCCTCTCCAATACGGCCCTACATTCAGACCCACAAAAATCTGGGATTTGTTAAAAAGGCATAATTAGTGCCACTTATTGAAGTTACTGTATTTTGAATAGGATGTATCATGTCCATGGAATTTTCTGATTACCACACCCACTGAAACCCAGTATTACCACTCATTTATCTTAACCATGGGATTTCACTGATTCCAGAATTTCCAGAATATAGTGGATACCTAAAGAAAATCTTGAGTAATCTGTTTGAATCTCATTCAGGTTTGGCTTTTTTTCTCTTTAAGAATTATGTAGAGGGCCCTCCCTGGTGGGTTAAAGCACCGCACTATGAAGCTAAAGCCACTTCCGCATGAGTTCGATCCCCGCCCGCCCGGAGGTGACCACATGGCGCGGCAGACCCCTCCTGACCCACCCGCTGCTCCCCTCAGCAGTGTACTTCGTCAATCTGCCTGTTCTGCTCCCCACTCTGTCTCTGGTGAATCCTCTCACCCTCCGCATCTCTGGCCTGTACCCCAGTTCTGTATGAATAAATAAATCTTTAAAAAAAAAAAAGAATTATGTAGAGAAAAGAAGTTAATAGTTGAACGTTGAAAGTTAAAAATTTTTACACTTGCATGCCTGTCTTTAGTAACTCACAGTTTACACTTTTGTTCCTAGAATGAAAACCAGGTTTGGTGGGAAAAAATAAAAAAGGAATTTGGAATCCTAATTACACCAACTACATGAGCAAATTACTTAACAGTATAGAGAATCTAAAAACTATAAAAAGGGAATAAGGAATACCTACCTCGCAGAATTATTTTTAGTAAAATGAATTAAGAGAACCACTAATTTAGAATATAAATCCCAAAGAGGAATGATGGATGAATGTCTTGATATCTGATGAGTCTTGCTCACATGCACACACATTTGACACACACACACACACCTAGCTTAAAGCAATAACAACATACAGTGAGGATTTAATGTTTTTTTAATGAACTAATAAATATTAGTGTTCCCATTTCTCTCACTAACCCTTCTTGCATAATCATTTCCCACCCCACCCCCCACTCCCCATCTACCGTCTATTATTTTCTAAAGCCTCAGAACATTCTATTCTTTTAAGGAGTGTCCTCCCTCTCGTTGGCTATTATTAACTGCATACCATTCACAGACTGACACAAAATATCTTTGGAACTAATTTCTCTAATACTATCCACTTTCCATTTCTAATGTGATGGCGGGGGCGGAGGGGCGAAGAGGGGTAATCAGAACATAAAATTCATAGCAATTCAGTGCCTCAGCCACTGATTCGTGTTAAAGACACTAAGTCTAAACTAATCGTCCCCAGAATATAACTTTCAGGGGACACCGCACAACGCCTCCTCTCTTCTCACTAACAAGAGACTCTTGTGTAGAAAATCCTAGACTCACAAAAGTTAAGGCGTCGGTTACGCTTGCCTCCCGCTAAATAGAGGACAGTCCCTCCAGCAAAGGAGGTTATTTCAACCTCTTGGTGTTGCCCGAGGGCCAGTTGTCTTAGGAACCTGGCCAAGCTGGTCTGACCACAACTCTCAAGAACGCAGCCTTCTTCGATCATTGAAACGAAGCTAAGGGGCGAGGCCGTAGAACTGCTTAGGGGTGCACTGTCAAGTCAGTAACAACGTGGAGGGGCAGCAGTAAGAACCGCAGAAGCATGCCATTTAAATTATGACTTCCACCACTTTCGCCCACACACAGCTACTCCCGACCCTAACACATCTTACAAGGGTGGGGGGGTCGGAGGGGGGGAAAGAACGCGTCTTGCCCCCAACCCATAAATCAGACAGCCAGTGTCTGTTTATTGGCTCTACCACCATCTCCTTCACCCTCATTGGCTATGCCGGACATAAAACCCTCCCCTACGAGGGAGCCCTCTAGTACGGCGGCACCCCCAACCTAGCAACCTCTACCCGGCTTCTGAAAAGCCCGCCCCCCACGTCCACCGAGGTATCGCGACCCTGGAGGCGCTGTGAACTTTGCCTTCTGAGGACTCACCGTGTAGTAGGAGAGCAACCCTGCATTGTAGTCCAGTACAAACCAACGGTACTGCCAGCCCTTCATTACATTAGTCCATTTGCTCAGCGGCCCTTCCATGATGGACGCCATCTTGGGAGCCGCCAATGACAACAAACGACCTGACGTCACTCGCCTATAAGGTATTCGGCATGGGGGAGGCGGGGCCTCTGTGGGCAGAGGCGGGGCCAGGGCGGGATCGACGGCAGCCTCTTTGCGGACTCGCAGACCCACGCCTCTCAAACACGCTTTCTTTGAGAGCCCATTGTGTGTAGGACTCTGCCAGGAATATGAAGGATGACAGCATGGATATTACAGTTAAGATAATTTATTGGCATAGGTACTTTTACTAACCGTGATATTATCTTACACCTCCGAAAGATTTCAACTCAGATGGTCATTTATGCTTCATTACACGAGTTCATTCCCTTACTGAGTATTTGCTGTTTTGTGCTAGATGCTACTTCAGGTGTTGGGAATTCAGGGACTTTCTGAGAAGAAGGAAACAGCAACAATGTAAGTAGTAAATTATGTAGTACACTAAAAATTGGTAAGTACTGTAAAGAAAATTTAAGCAAGAGGTAGAGTAGAGCCTACGGCCCTCCCTGGTGGCGCAGCGGATTAAAGCACAGCACTAAAAACTAAAGCCACTTCAGCATGAGTTCCATTATTCCCCCCCCCCCAGAGGTGAACCACATGGGGCTGCAGACCTCTCCTGACCCGCCCGCTGCTTCCTCAGCAGTGTACTTCGTCAATCTGCCTGTTCTGCCCCCCACTCTGTCTCTGGTGAATCCTCCCACTGCCCCTGCACCTCTGGCCTGTACCCCAGTTCTGTATGCATAAATACATAAATCTTAAAAAAAAAAAAAAAAAAAGAGTAGAGCCTACAATTTTAAATTCCCAGAGAGGGCAGGCTTGCATAAGAAAGTAACTTTTGAGGAAAGAACTAAAGAAAGCTACAGGTGTTGGGGCGTGGTTGGGCCTTCTAAGGGAAAAGAATGGTTTTAGCAAGTACAATGATCTTGACCTTGGCAAGGTAAAGAAACACCAGGTCAGAATGGACCGGAGACCTATGGCAGAGAGAAAGTAGTAAGAGAAGTGAGGACAGATCACTTAGCGCTTATAGGGCAATGTAAGTCTTTGTTGATCACCTCCTGTACCTAGGCACTGTTCAAGATCCTGGAAATGCAACAATGAAGGAACCAGACAGGGTGCTTGCTACGTTAGAGCTCAAGTTCTATAGGGAAAGCAAATGCTAAACAAGCAAAATGTCTATATTGTTTGCAGAGAAATTAAGAAAATTAATGCAACAAGAAGCCAATGAGTGAATGCTTTATTTGGGTGGGAAACACACAGGAAATTGTTTTTAAAATGAAATGTGAAAGATCAGAAAAAGTCAAGCAAGTATCCAGGGTAAGAGCTAAAAAGGGAACTGAGAAGTAGAGCATTAGCTAGACACAGCAGGTGGTCGAGGGAAAGGCTTTCTTTAACTTTTATCTTTATCTTTTGGATTTAAAGAATATTTTGTTTATTCAGATAGTGTGTTGTGAATCCTTTCTGCTGACAGCAGAAACTCCAGGAAAAAGAATACCATGAAAGAAACTAAACAGAGAACCTATGTGCTTGATAATCAAATTAGGTGAAGATCTAAATTATAGTGAAATTGGTCTGTTTGTTTTTCCCCAATTATTGCAGTATCATTGAACTATAATATAGCATAATTTAAGACTTACAAAAATAATATTTTTAAAATATTTATTTATTTATGTATACAGAACTAGGGTACAGGCTAGAGGTGCAGAGGCGGTGAGAGGATTCATCAGAGACAGAGTGGGGAGCAGAACAGGCAGACTGAGGAAGTACACTGCTGAGGGGAGCAGCGAGCAAGTCAGGAAAGGCCTGCCATGCAATGTGTATCACCTCCGGGCGGGGGATCGAACTCACACAGAGGCAACTGCAGCTAGCTTACAGTGCTGCACTTTAGCCTGAGGTGCCACCAAGGAGGGCCCCCCAAATAATAATTTTATATGCATATTTTGCAGGACAACCACCAAACTTAATATCCATTGCTTCACAGTTACATTTTTTTCCTGCTATGAGAAGTTTTTTAATTATATTTTTTATATTGAGTTAACTTTGTTTTACAACCTTATGTATGATTTAGGGGTATAGATTCATATATCTTAAGATGTTTGTTACCACATCACACCAACTACAAAAGCCCCAATTATTCTCCACCATAGTCCATTGAGCCCTTCCCACCTCTTTCTCTTCTAGGCCCCTACTTTCCCTTTCTGGTAACTTCAATTCTGCATTCAGATGTCTAGGATTTGTTTCAGTTTAATTTTGTCTGATCCCTTGTTTTGCTTTTTTATATTCCAATATGGGTGAAATCATCTAGTCTTTGTATTTCTCTTTCTGACTTTTCACTTAGCATAATCCCTTCCATTTCTACACATGTTGTTACAAAAGGCAAGCTTTCCTTTTTATAGCTGACTAGTATTCCATTGTGTAAATAATGTTATTTTTTTCATTACCTACTTATAAGAACTTTTGGATCTACTGATAAAAACTTTCAAACATACAGTTGGTATTGTTAATTGTAGTAACCATGCTGAGCATTACATACCAGAACACTAATTTCATCTGGTAGCAACAAGTATTTACTTTTCAGCCACCTACACTCTGTTTCCCCCTCTCACCCCACAGCAGCCCACCTTTGGTAACCACGAGTATGTTCTTTGTTTCTATAAATTCTACTTTTTTTTATAGATTCCACGTTAGTGCAGTCATGAAATTTTTATCTTTGATTTATTTCACTTAATATAATGCCTTCAAGTTTCATGCATCTTGTACTAAATGCCATTATTTCTTATTAATAGTCCATTATATATATATATATATATATGTAATCAAGTTTTCTTTACTCGTAAATCCTCAGTAACACTTAAGCTATTCTGTGTCTTGATTATTATAAATAAATTGGCAATGAACATGAACGTGCAGCTGTCTTCTAGAGGGGTAATTTCATTTCCTTTGGCAAACCAGAAGTTGGTTTGCTTGGATAATGTGGTAATTCTATTTTTATTTTTTCGAGAATCACCATAGTGGCTGTACCAATTTATAATCTCACCAGCAGTACACAAGTGTTCTCTTTTCTCTATATTCTTTCCAGTTCTTGTTACTTTTGTACTTTTTGATGATAGCCATTTTAAAAGGTGTGAAAGGATTAATATCTCAGTTTTTATTTTCATTGTCCTGATGATTACTAATGTTGAGTACTTTTCTTATGTACATATAGGTTTTTTTGAAACACTGTCTATTCAGATTCTTTGTCTACCTTTAAATTGGATTACTTGATTTTTGCTGTTGAGCTTTATTCCTTATACTTTTAAAATATTAATCCTGACCAGGTATTTGGCTTGCAAATATTTTCTCTCCTTCTGTGCATTGCCTTTTTCATTTTGTTGATGGTTTCCTTTGCTGTGCAGACATTTTTTTATATGATGTAGTCCTGCTTGTTTATTTTGATGCCTTTCTGGGACTTTAGGTGCCATATCTAAAAATAATTCAAAACCAATTTCAAGAAGCTTTTCCCTATGTTTCCCTCTATAGATTTATGGTTTTAGATCTTATATATGAGCCTTTCATCCATTTCATTCTTTTGCAAGTGAATTTCCAGTTTTCTCAGTATTATTTTTTGAAGGGATTATCTTTTATCCAATGAGTATGCCTAGTTCCAGTGGAATGAGGAGCAGGCGTACTTCATCCATTGTAACAAAAGGAAGACCAGAGACTATTGGGTTAATGAGCAGAGAAATCCCCTGAGTTATTTGTTTGCTTCTTTGTGGTATTAAGAATCACAGAACTTGGGTTTTAATTCTGAGATACATGTAGTAACTATGTAGACTTAGACAAGTGTTTTAACTTCTGTATGCCTCAGTTTCTCCATGTGTAATGTGGATAATAATAGTAGGGTTATTTTGAGGATAAAATGAACTTATACATGTAAAAAGCTTGAAACAGTACCTGCTAGATAGTTAGCACTTAATGTGGCATAAAAAAAGAGCAGAAGGTTTGAAAGAATCATTTAAGAGAGAGAAAAAGCAGTAGAAGTGGAATAAGTTGTTGGGCAATGTTGTGTGCCATTTAAGATTTGTAATCATGAAATTACAGTGAGAACAATCAATAGAGATAGCAGCTTTTCTTTAACAATGTCACTCTGTTCAGAAATAACCTTGAAATATACAGAAAACTGGCTTTACTCCAAGCCAAATGAAGGGAAGAAAGACAATTAAATTCACCAAGATATCCAAGGGTGTGATTATAATTATAGGCTATTATACCTGGTTTGGGTAAGGAAGGGAGACATGGTGAATTGCCTTCTTTTTAAGGTCAGGGAAGTGTTGGAGTGGAAGTATGTGGCCCAGAAGAGTAAGAAGTAGTGGACAAAAGATGGGCTTCCTGAATTTGAGGTTCTGAAAATGGACAGTTATCAATGAGGACAGAGACTAAAGTATGACATAGAGATGAATAATTGAGGTCAGATAGAGCAATATGTTGGGGGATGGGAAGTTTAAGAACAGAGAAGCAGAAGAGCTGTAAAGTATTGTGCAAGTATAGGTTGAGGTCATACAGCATCATGACAGCTGTAGCAATGTAAAGGGAGAAAGACTAGGAGCTAAAAAGATTGAATAAGGCTAATGCCCAGAGGGTATTTAGATGACAACAATAAAGCAGAATAGTAGGTGATAAAGTGATATAGCAGAGACTTAAAGGAGCTAAGGTTTATGAAGGAGGTAAGAGGGAAATGCTTTAGAGGCAGCAAAGGGCCTTACAATTTCTTGTAAGACAGTAACAACTCATTTTGCTGCTGAGATAACTAATTTAAAAACCCAAGAAGTTTATCCAAGTTCACAGAGTACCAAATAACAATGATATCATTCAACACAGATTACTGAACCCATCTATGTGTCAGGCATGGTAATAGTCACTAATTACACAAGAGAGTAAAATCCCATCCCTAAATATAAGGGAGTCTAATACAAAAGAATATATAAACAATGACAAGACAGTTTAATAAGTACTTTATATTTCTACTTCTAATCCAGTTCCTTTTCCATTGAATTCTCTCTTAAGACCCCTAAGTAACAAGCATTTAATTAGTGCCCCCCCATATAAAATAGCATGGAAGATGCTGAAGAGGATACGTATTCACTCTTTTCTTCACCACTCAAATATAGTATCATGAAAACATAGATTTTTGTTTTGCTCCAAAACAAAATCTTCCCTCCAGTAAAAAGTACCTAAAATATGGGTGGGGTTCCATAATATTAATTAAAAGAAGGTGTTCCCTTCCCTTGCAAAGAGTTTATGGATTAAATGCAACAACTTGATGTATTAAAGTGGTATGGAGTGGAAGACACTGATATATGGATATATGTGTGCAATCCTGGCCCTCAGAGTTTCTAGCCTAATGAGGATAGGCCACACACACAAAAGTCAAAGGAAAATGAAAATCATCAAAGAGTACAAAGAAAATGCAATTGCAAGTCATAGAAAGGGCAAGATCTGGAAGAAACAAATAGTCAAGCAGCAGAGGTGCTTTTTAGAAAAAGGCCATTCACATTGAAAGGCTATCACATAAGTTGCTTCTTAAGGGCCCTCCCTGGTGGCACAAGGGGTTAAAGCATCACACTGTGAAGCTATATACAGCCACTGCAGCTGCAGGTCAGTTCCCAGAAAGGGAGGTGACCTCTTCTGTCCAGCCCACTGTTCCCCTCAGCAGTGTATTTCAGTTAATCTACCTGTTCTGTTTCCCCACTCTGCCTCTGGTGAATCCTCTCACCCTGTACCTCTGGCCTGTACCCCAGTTCTTGTACGCATAAATAAATAAATATTTTTTTTAAAGTTTCTTACATTTAAGTATCAAGTGATCCTACTAGAAATTCGAGTTCTTCACACTGTTTGATAGTAAACAGCAGACTGATGTTCTTTAAATAGTTCCACTGATCTCAGTAAACATGAGGAATGTTGTATTTATTCCTATTTTTAGTATTTTCCCATAAGAGTCAACAAAATGGCATCGAAGAACTTAGCCCTTAAACTTAAAAAAGAGGGTGAAATATTCTGCTTCTGTCATTCTGACAATGGGATCTTGGATAAGCCTTTGTAACGCTTCCTCTTCTGTAAGCACACAGGTAATCACCCCTATTTAAGGAGTAAAGAGGATTCCTAAAGGGTATACAGTAAATGAAAGTCAGTTTCCAGTTTTCCCCTTCCTTTCTTTTTCTTGGGATAGCCTCCTTACTACACATTGCAATTCAACACACTTAGTTATGAATAAAGCACGTGTTTGGCACCTTCCAGAAAACTCGAGATTAAAAGACATGATTCCTGACCAGGGGCTAGCCAGGGTTGGGAAACATATATGCAACTAGGTGTACACAAAGCTACTTTCTTTTGGAATTTGTTTTCATTTTCAACATTTATTGTGACTGTACCAGGAGTACTAATTGCTTTATCACATTTAATCATCGTCATAACCTTATGAGTATATTAATCTCCATGTTTTACAAAAAAGGAAACTGAGTGAGATTCAAAGAAATTAACCAACTTGCCAGGCACCTCATAGTATTAATAAGTGAGCATCTGAATCCATGTAAAGACATGTCTCTTTTTATCATGCTACATGGCCTTCCCACAGTACACACTTCTCGTGGAAACTTGATGTTTCAGCTACACTATTCAGCAGAAAGTCTCTTGTTGCTAACATTTTTTTTGGATAAACAAAACGTTGGAATCTTGAAACATCATGATTTCGAGTTAAAATACATAATGTTAGTTTTCATCTAAACTGATATGTTCCACTGAAACTGACCTGCTAAGTTCCAAAAGTTGTGCTAAGTGCCATTACCTAAATTTTCTCCTTTAATCCCCACAACAGTCCTCTTAAGATTTGTGTAATTACACCTATTTTAGAGATGAGCACATTTGGGCACAAAGCTATTGAGTGACTTGACATAGATGACACAGCTAATAAACAGAAAAACTAGATTAGAACCTAATCTTTTCACTCCCAGCTCCATTTCACCCAGCTGCAAGCTATATTTGCATTGTCTGTTGCAATATCAACATATTGCTCATGTTGGGCCTGATACAGCCTGCATCATCAACTTCTAAGTCAGTTTCAGCTTTTATCAGGATATCAGGCATTAGCAGGTTAGCTTTAAATATCAAAATACATGTCAGCAGGAAGAGCCAAAAGCAAGGGACCCTAAGACCAAGTCCAAGTGCAAGGCACTTTGTCTATATTCTACACCAAGTGTCAAACTACATGCTTTAGATCATCAGCTAAAATTAAACATGGTGGAGACATATCGTCTCTCATTTCCCACATTGCTTAGTGACTGGCTTCTCATGGAATAATGTTTCAGCTGAAGTGGAGCAGAAAATGAGGATTCAACTCAGAATTAAAAGGTAGAGTTGATGTTAACCATTCAACATCATAAACTCAAAGAGGGCCTCCCTGGTGGCGCAACAGGTAAAAGCACAGTGCCATGAAGCTATCGCAGCCACTACATGAATTGATCCCTGGCCAGGGAGGTGAGTGACCATCATGTGACCATCAGGTGACCACTCCTGTCTTGCCCACTGCTCCCCTCAGCAGTGTATTTCAGTACATCCACTTGTTCTGCTCCCCACTCTGACTCTGGTAAACCTTCTCACCCCCTGTACCCCGGTTCTATATGCATAAATAAATAAAATCTTTTTTAAAAAAAACTCATCAAGGACTAGACTGGGATTAACTTATTCTACCACTTAGGATTTTAATAAATGTTACATGGAAGAAGTGATTCTTAAAAGACCATTCCAAAAAAATAATAAAAATAAACTCATTCTGGGAACAAAACTGAGGACAAGTCATAGAGGCAAGAAGACAAACTATGACACTTTTAAACACCAGAGCAAGTAGTAGTGCTTTAAAGTGGACAATGACAGCAGGATGAAGAGTGAGAAGGATACTACACTGTATATTTATTGAGGAACACTGGCAAATGAGATTTCAAAACTCTACAAAAAATTTGTAGAATTTTTCTGTCTTTGACAGAATTGCCTTTTTGCTTCAACTGTCCTCATTCCTCTTTTTGAGGACATAGGAAAAGCGCTAGAATCAAAACACTTTTTAAAAGAGATTTGTTTATTTGTGCATGCAAGAGCTGGGGTATAGGCCAGAGTGGGTAGTGTGAAAGGATTCAGCAGAGACAGAATAGGGAGCAGGACAGGCAAATTTACTGAAATACACTGCTGAAAGGGACCAATGGGTGAGGGACAAGAGAGGACTGCTGTGACATATGTGGGTTTCCTCCCTGGCTGGGAATAGAACTCATGCTGGTGATAGCTTGATAGCACTGATACTTAACCCCTGCACTACCAGGGAGACCCCCTTAAAACACTACTTATTTTTGTATCTTAGTATTCTGAGTATGAAACACCCTTCCTTTGTTAAGATTCCTGAGGAATTTTTTATTTTACAATAGAAAACAAGCCTCACCTTCAGCCCTAAACCCCCCCCCACCCCAAAACTGCTCACTAAACAAAAGAATCAAAGGAGGAAAGAGGAGAGGCAGAGATGATACTGAGGTTTCTAACTTGTGTAACTAAATGATTAAGTAATCAAGTTCTGTTTGGTTTTTTAAGGAAGAACAAAGATGGCTTATGTTTCTCAACATGAAGTTTCCTTCCTTTATACAGCTGTACAGAAATGTGATTATTTTTCAGTTTCTAACAAAAACAATTTCCAAGTTTTCAACAAGACTGTTGGTGCAACTTGTTTTATGATACATTCTGTTGTTACTATTTTGCTGCCTTCTCTTTCTAAACTTCCCACCAACTTCTTTTTTGTTATTGCTGTTATTGTTATGCTGTGTTTTATTGGCTTTTGTTGGACATCAGCTAAAACATTTACAAATGTTGCCTTTTTAAGAGTAAACAGAAAGCTACCAAAACTTGGCTGTCCTTTGCTGGGGAATAAGATCAAACTGGGAAAAGTAAAATACGATGTAGCTTATTTTTTCCACAAACAATTCCAACTTTTCCCCTGCCTTCCTCTCAGGAGCTAGAAGTAAGGAAGTGAAATATCACGGTTAGGACAATGCTGCTTTAATTTGAACCCAAAGCGGCTGGAAAAGGGTAAGATAAGAGGAGATGGAGGAAAGTGGTTCTAAGGAGAGAAAAGAAGCCACATTTATCTCCTACCTTTCCCTTCTTATGCCCGCTGGAGCCCTATACTCTAGCCACACTGGATTTTAAAGATTTCACAAACATCCCCCTCCCTCTGGTGGAACTGATTTCTTTGTGCGCACAAAGTCAGCTGGGTTCTTGTGTTTTAGATGGAGGAGCAATCACTGACACACCAGACTGAAGGTTAGCAAGCAGACAGCAGGAGGGGGTCCACGGAGGAGCCCGTTACTGTTGGGGTAGGTTTACTTTTATAATAACCGATGGGGACTTTCCCTACTCTCCTACTTTTCTACTACCCTCCTTTGCCTCAGTGCCCCATGTTGCCACCCAGAGATTTGAAGCCACCACAAGTTACTGTGTGTCTCTGTATGCCTCTTGTGGTTACAAGCGGCTCCCCACTACCTCTGTGGCTAGCAGCCTTTGCAGGTTCCCTCAAGCACCCAGCCTTAACCTGCTATCTTACAACCACCAGCCCATGCCAGACAGTTTGTAACCAGCTCTTGCAGGCCAGCTCCCTAGCCCGCTACTTCACGGCTCCCTTATCAACTCTACTTTGAATAAGCTTCCAGTTAGTCTGCAACTCTTACTGCATCACAGCACCTGCAGGCCCCTCTTGGCAGTGGGCATTTGAGGACTCACTCATATGCATATCTGCACACTTAGCTCATGTCTGATGGGCAGCATGGACCAGTGGAAGCATTTAGCAGCACCAGGCAATCTGGATAAAAGGACTAGGGGGAAGTGGTTTGCTGTACAGTTTTTACTTATACTTTGTGTTTATTTGGGTTAGTTTAAAGGAGTTCGTAGAGATTATAGGGCTAAGTCTCCTAAGCCACACTCCTCAACAAATGGTCATCAAGCAGCTTCTCTAGGCTCTCCTTGCAGTGGTGACTTATTTACTTTATATCCCCAATGTGAAAATGTTCGATGGATCTTAGCAGCCTCCACTGAATGTGAAACTGACCTAAAGTGAGCTCCCGGACGTTCTTGTTATTTCCTTTCCCAGTTATGTCCTTTTGCTCTTTCTTTGCCTGGGAATGGCTTACAGATCATTTAAGTCTCAACTCAAATGTAAGTTCCTTTTGGGGACCTTCTTCAGATACCCATATCCACCCTCTGCCAACATCAGATAGAGTTAATCTTACCTTTTAGCATGCCCCATAGCAGATTATGCACTACTCTAAGACAAACAGAAATTATCTCACAATGTCTTTAATGGGATCACCCAAAATGTGTTGTGACAACTGTCTGCACCACAGTCAGGATATATTTTAGTGTTATTGGGTTGAATGATCCTCAGTTCTTCATAGGAAAGAATTCAAAGCCATACCCAGGCCAGTGATATGGCAGTTTATTTAGTGGTAGAACACTCTGGAGAGGTCTGAGTAGGTAGTATCTGTGGAAGTACACTGCTTTGGATGGCAGGGGACTTGGGGCTTATATGGGGTGTCACTTCCTGACATTATCCAATCCGGGTCCACAGTAAGCAGAACTGCTATGGTTGTCATTCCCCAAAGTGGGGATCAGAACTGCAACACTAAGTAGGGGGCAGGTGTCTATCAGGGTGATTTAAAAATCATTTCACACCCTACCACACAGGTACTCCCCTGGTAGGGTTTTAGTGGCCCCCCTGAAGCTTTTTTCTGGTATCCTGGATATCGGTGGTCATCAGTTGTCTGCCCTAACTACCTGACATTAGAAGAACAGTTCTATCTACTGTGATCAGGTGGACATCATGCTGGAATCAGGAAGATCACAGTCAACCTAAAGCCCAAGAATATATGGAAAAGGTTAAATTATGATAGATCCACATGTTGAGCTGGTGTATAGCCAATAAAAGTGTATAATCACTTGCCATTTATAATAAAAAGTCATCTGTCATTTATAATAAAAATGGCCTTGCCTTCTCCAGGAGTTGCAGTGAACAAGCATTACATATTAGTGATAGCCTGTCAGATCCAAACAGCCTTCTGTCCCAACCAGATTTGCAGAACTCCTTTGTCCACTTTATTCTGTATCAGCTGACATTCTATGTCTCCATGTGAGCTGCCATTGCAACATGTCAACTTGCAAACTTGGGAGACAAGTTACTGCTGCTGTGAATTCTTTCCAAGGAAGTAGACATCATCCATGAGCAGCAGTGCTGTGTCAAATCTGGACCAGATCCTTTGGATACAGATATCTATCCTGCCTGGCTCCTGTCCTATAAGAACTCATCCTATAAGAGCTCATAGTCTTTCCAGAAACAAGATATCAACGTGTTGCCCACAGGGTGATACATGCTAACTAGTGGTGAGCAAGGGTTCCATGGAAGCACAGAGAAGACAGAAGCCTGCCTAGTGACAGGTGGAATGTATCAGTCTGCGCAACAGAAACAAGAGGATTTTCCTTTTCTAGGTAGATTGCTACATCCTCTACTACTACCCTGACTAGAGCCTGCATTATTTTGTACTTAGATCATTACAAAATAATGTACTGTAGGTCACTACAGTAGCTTAAAGTTATGAATTCCACCATTGCCTGCTCCATACTAATTGTGAGAGCCACTGATAATTCTTTTTTTAAAGATGTATTTATTTGTGCATACAGAACTGGGGTACAGGCCAGGGGCGCAGGGGCGGTGAGAGGATTCACCAGAGACAGTGGGGAGCAGAACAGGCAGACTGATGAAGTACACTGCTGAGGGGAGCAGCAGGCGGGTCAGGAGAGGTCTGCCGTGCCATGTGGGTCACCTCCAAGCTGGTGGGGATCGAACTCAAGGGGAAGTGGCTTCAACCTCTTAGTGTTGTGCTTCAACCCGCTGAGCCACCAGGGAGGGCCTGCCACTGATATTTCTAAAGAGATAAATTTTAACTCCTTACTTTCCAATCTTCCTTTTGGTGGCACACCTCTCCTCACCTCCAGATAAAATACCCATTTCTAAATTCTTTCATTGTTGATCTGTACTGTAATTTTGCTATTTTTGCCCCTTCTTTATTGAATGGCTTTGTCTACGTTTGCCTGGAAAATACTGTTCATCTTTCACGGTTCTACTGAAGTATCTTCACCTCTTTCATAAATACTTTCTTGATTTATACCCTGACTAGTTAGAAGTCACCATTCCCTAATTTGAAGCTACTGTTGCACTTAAAATACTTTCTGGCATCTATTGTTTTGTGTGTCTGTCTTTTGCATTAGATTATAAACTCTTGAAGGACAAGAGAATCCTCTTACTCATTTCAATATTCCAAGTACCTGGTACAAGAAGTGGCAAAATGCCATGATAGGACAAAAGCATAAACAAATGGGTATAGCTGTGTTGTAATCACATTTTATTTACAACAACAATCAATGGACCTGATTTGCCCTCCAACCACAGTCTGCTGTCCCCTGACCTAGTATATGATGGATTTAACAATAAACACTTAATGGCTTTATTTTGAATGTAGAATGAAGTAGTAGAAGCAGGATTTAGATCTGGTTATATTATGTAGCAGATGCTACTGGTTTCTTGCCCCTGTTTTTCTTGGCATCCACTTCTACACACTGAAACTGTAATTGATGCAGGGAATACCTACAATTCTTTGCTTGAAATACTTTTATTTTGTTTCTGGCCAGAGAGCATACTTGGTTTTATGCACTACAAACTGGGAATTTCAAATGTCACCTTGAACTTAGTGATAGATGGTAAGTTGGTGGATAATATACCAGCTTCCTTATCACTCTGTCGGAATACTCTGAATGTGTCTATACTCTTTCCCAGAGTTCCCCAGCATAACTGAGCTCCAGTTGGCTACCATAGTAACTAGCTTGATGATCTACATTTTTGGCTTTCTTCATTCTCCCATCCCACTACCCTACTCCTACCTAAGTTTCCTGACACCACGTTTTAAATAAGTTGTTTGCATTCCAACCTCACCAAGGGGTACATTTATTACTACAGCACAGTGTTTAGCGAGATTTACTGTGCTAAAATGTTTTTGTTGCATGTGAAGAGTAACAAAAATTATTAGTATTCCCTAAAAATTGGCACGGACTAATTTAACTCTCATAAAAAAGAAAAGAAAAGAAAAAAAGAAAGAAAAAGAAAGAGGGGCTTTGAGAGACAGGAACATAGATTAGCTGTGTGACCTTGGCCAAAACACTTAAGCTCTCAAACAAAGAGATTTTGTTTGCTTTCTGGGAAATATAGCAAAATCATACACTTCACTGGATTTTTGGAAGGAAGAATAAGATAAGGAGTTAAAATTCCCCCCCCCCAAAAATTCCTCTAAATGCAGCTCTAAAACAGTTTTTTTCCTCAGTCTAAAAATTTTCTGTCTTCATCTTCCTGATCTCAGCTAATTTATTCCATTATATCTGTAGATGATATTGTTATTCCTGATACTGTCTTTGATACTGTCTTTTTCACCATCTCTTTTACCTGCATATAGTTTGTTTCCTTACTTAAACTGCAACTTGTAAGAGCAGGAACTTTATTTTATGCTTATTTGTAATTAAGTGAAAAATATATTTGAAAATGATTTGTGATTGCAAAGTACTTGTTATCATTCATCTCATTCCATCAATATGTTGTGAGTACCCACCATATGTCAGTTATTGTACAGGCACTGAAGATACAGAGGGAAGTAAGATTTGGCCTCTTGAGATTCAAGAATTTAGTGAAGGAGACAGAATGTGACAGTATATAAATAATTTACCACAAAGTGAGACTTATGTTGGTTAGTGGTATGACGGAAGGACTTTGAAAGAGTTCCAATAACGGAAAAATTGATTTGCTGGAAAGAGACAGCCAGGCAAAACTGAATTCCAATTCTACCTCCGCCTTTTACTAACAAGGGTACTCTTGCCAAGATACTTAACTTTTTAGATCACCGGTGCTTAACCTGGGAACTGCGGCTAAGAATTCCTTCCACTCAAAATTCCTCTAAGGATTAAATAAGAAGATAAAGCAAAGGATCCAGCACAGTGCTTCTGCATAACTCTTAGCCACAGTGTATTCTTTTTCTTCCCTTCTTTCTAGGTGAGGTGTTTCCAAAGGAAATAGCATTTGATCTGAATTTACCAATGTGAAGCCTATGCTTTCATATGTAAGGAGAAACTAGCTCTTGCAGAGCAGCTACTAGGAATAAACACTTTTGCTTGTGTTTCCCAGAACAAAGAGGGGAAGAATATTGCTTGGAGAACAGGATAAGCAGACACAACAGCTTGAAATCCTATGCGTACTGTGCCTTTGGAAAATGACTGATCCTTCTGGATGCCTTGGGGCAAGTGGAACCAGTGACTTTTTAGTGGGAGATGAGGGTAGAGAGGAAGACCGGGGCTGGATTCAATAATGTTTGAAAGATACTCTTCCTTCTGAAATCTATAGTTTGGAGTTTAAATAACCAGCTAGCCCTGAAGAACTGCAGATGCATTATCTTTAGACAGAAAGTAGTTGTCACAGAAACCCAGGGTTTCAACCCGTAAGTGGGAACATACCACAAGATCTAACTGTTAATTCCCAAGACTACACAACTTCCCAAATGGGCCTTAGCTCATAATTTATGAACTTTGTAGCTTTGTGATTAAATATGCAGAGAATTTAGAGATACATGACAATATTAGTACTTCTTGTATGTGAAAATACACCATACAGGAGTCTAAAATTGATGCTTTTAATATTCCCCTTTCCTATTTACAAAACTAATGATAGATTGTATTTCAGATACTACTAGTGAACCCAGGGGATGGGTGCAATGACAAATAAAAAAATTTAGAACAGGTGAATTGATTGACCACACAGTCCTTCCTGATCTGAACTCCTGTTACAGCAGGATCTGTGCCGTACACTCTTGTTCTGATGAATATTATGTATGTCATGAAGTGTTCTCAAGATATCTGATGAAAGAAATATGATGGTTACAAAGTGTGTACTGCATTCTGGCACTGTTTGCATAATTTCACATTCATTTATTGAGTGCTTATGCCATCCAGTTGTTCTCTGTACATAACGGAGAACAAACCAAGATTTGGTTTCTGTTCTCATGCAGCTTCTACATATCTCAGATAATCTTTATGAAAGTACCTCAAAACTGGAGTTATAAAGAGAAAGAAATGAGAACTAGGTGAGGTTAGTAGTTGGCCCAGAGCCAACTTATCTATTAGGAACAGTAGGCATAGTGCTGAGGGCCCCCAAAAAGTGTTTTAATGAATATAATAATAAAAATGAATAAATAATGACTCCAGCCTGCATTATATTTGTCTTTGTGCCAAGGCAGTCCTTAAACATATCATCATATAACTTTTTTTTATAGAGGAAGGCAAAAGCACCTAGTCATAAATGTAATATGTGGCCCTGATGGGCATTGCTGATATGGAACAGAACAATGTCTGGATAGTGCCACTATATTTAAGGAGATGCATCTAGAAGATGAGGACTGTGCCTTTATTCCTCTTCTTGTGTGTGATAGAGGTAGCTCAGTGAATGTTAAATTAAATTACATTGAGTCACCCAAAAGTGCTTCACATAATGAACAACTGATTGTATGTTCTAACAGATTGAAGAAATCCTTGTGGCTGCTGCAAAAAAATCACATGGACCTTTCCCATCTGGAAACAAGGTATAAATGATGTCTATGCATTTTATCAACTTACAGAATTTTTGGAGAAAAGATTAGAACAGATGTCTTTCTTTACTTGCAAGTAAAGATATTTGTCTTATACTATATGTCAGACCACTGACAAATCTCTGATGTTAGGATTATATCCCAAAAATAAATGTTTGTGTATATAATAAAATTTTTTAAATTTACTTTTCATTTAGCATTCACTCAACTGGGAATATAAAAACAGAGAAGTGTGGATGCCCTTGAGAAGTACATGGTCAGCTTACTCTGTTTCACAAAGAATGAACAGACTCTGTGGGAATGTTACCAAAGTAGAACAGTTGATTCCAAGTTGTCAAAATTGAAACTTGATATAATTTCTCACATTACCAGCATAACAATGGTAGAAGTATTAAAAGAGAACTCTTAGTGCTCATCATGTCAAACTCCTATTAAAATGCACTAGGGCCCAAAGCAGTGGTTCTCACCTGGGACCAATTTTGCACATTCACCCCAAGGAGTACATTTGGAGACATTTTTGGTTATAACAACTGTTCAGCGAGGCTGTTGGCATCTAATGATTAAAAGCCAGGATGTTGCTAAATAAACACCTTCCAATGCAGAGTTTAGCACCCTCCTCCTAACAGAAAAATGATCTGGCCCAAAATGTCATAGTGTTGAGATTGACAAACCCCAGCTGGATGCAAATCCAAACTCCTGCCAGCATTCAAAGCCTGGACTAGTTTGCTCCCTCTCACTTTATGTACTGTGATCAGTCTTTTTGGAGCAAAAGATTAGAACAGATGTCTTTCTTTATTTGCAAGCGAAGATACTTGCTATATACTATATGTCAGACTCCTGAAATTCTCTGATGTTAGAATTATGTCCTAAAAATAAATATAATTGTGGATATAATAAAAACTTTAAAATTGACTCTACATTTATCATTTACTCTGCTAGGAACTGAGAATATGAAAACAAAGAGCGGATGCTGTGGAGAAGGGTGCCAAAGAAAAAAGACCTCTTTATCTTTCAGAGAGGTTAAGTAGTTGAGCTCTATGGTCAGGTTGATGTGGCTGTCTACCTGATCATTGACATATATTGTCAATAACTAGAAATAACATAATAAAAGTTAGATGAAGGTTGTCTTTCTCCTCTCTCTCTCTCTCTCTGAAAATACCTTATTCTACACAATTTAAAAAAATTTTTTTTAAAGATTTATTTATTTGTGCATACAGAACTGGGGTACAGGCCAGAGGCTCAGGGGTGGCGAGAGGCTTCACCAGAGACAGAGTGGGGAGCAGAACAGGCAGATCGACGAAGTACACTGCTGAGGGGAGCAGCGGGAGGGTCAGGAGAGGTCTGCCACGCCATGTAGTCACCTCCGGGGCAGGCGGGAATCGAACTCATGCGGAAGTGGCTTTAGATTCTCAGTGCAGTGCTTTAACCCGCTGCGCCACCAGGGAGGACCTAAAAAATTTTTTTTAAAGATTTATTTATGCATACAGAACTGGGGTACAGGCCAGAGGTGCAGGGGCTGTAAGAGGATTCACTAGACAGAGTGGGAGGAAGAACAGGCAGATCGATGGAGTACACTGCTGAGGAGAGCAGCAGGCAGGTCAGGAGAGGTTTGCTGAGCCATGAGGATCACCTCCCGGGCAGGGATCGAACTCATGCTGAAGTGGCTTTAGCATCTCAGTGCTGTGCTTTAATCTGCTGTGCCACGAGGGTGGGCCTCTACACAATATTTGTGGGTGAGGAGTAATTGAAGTCTAGGTTCAGGGGAGACTATGTATGTGAAAAGCTTGGTGCAATGCTTAGCACACAGTATGATCATTAATCAGTGCTAGCACTTCTTCCCCTCTTTGAGCCTCATTCTTCTCACAAAAAGGGAAGTAACAATGATTGTATAATACTGTGTTGTTGTGGAAGTGGTATTAACTTACAAGGCTTTTCCTCTTGGGCTTTGTACATAATATTCCTTCTGCTTCTCTCTCCTGTTCTCCCTGTTTTTTTGCTGCTTGGCTAACCTCAGTGTCACCTCCTCCGGATGCCTTCTCTGATATCTTATGCTGGATTATGACCTCTTATGGGGCCCAGCAGGCATCACACTGTTACTGTACTGCATATACTCAGTGAAAGGAAGAAGGAAGGATGGGTGGATGGATGGATGGACAAGAGGAGGGATGAAGAGACAGAGTTGATTGAAGGAAGTAGGGGAGAGTATTTAAAAACCAGCAACACCAATATTGAATGGCAGGTTTATGTGACTCCAAAAGACCAGCCTTAGCTGGCTCTGCCAATCCCATACTCCTTAGGGATCTTACTCTATTGCTCCCTCAACATTTAGTTACTCCTCCTTGACCTTCAGTATTCTCACTGCATGCAATGCATGTTCCCTAAGCATTGAATGCAGTCCTCATTATCCCAGGGCCACAAAAGAGAGTCAGTGAGGATATAGGGGAACTCAGCCCTCACTGTAGGATCTAGACAGGAGATCAGACTGCCTGGCCAGATTAGCTCTCAGAATCTGGGCATTGGGACCACAAACTCAGTGAGATGAAGAGGCTACAGTTGGCACCACTAGTATTGATCACCCGGATGCTGGCTCTGTGTCAGATCTAATTGAGGGAGGAGTTCAAAGATGGGGGTAAGAGGCCCTGTTGGGTGGGAGGGACTATAGAGCAGACCTTACTTGCCCCTGCTCAATCACCTGTCCCAGAGGTCAAATCCCTGCTTATTCCTTCCTAGCTGTGTGACTCCGGGCAAGTAGTTTATTCTTGTGTGCACTTTAATTTCTTTCTCTGTAAAATGAGAAGGACAATAAGGATCTTACAGAATTGTTCTAAGAATTATATGAGATAAGGTATGTGAAGTATTGTCCCTAATAAACAGTTGATGTACAATAATGCTTATTCCCTTCCTTCATTCTAAAAACACAAGCAAGTGAACTCTAGAGGGAAAAATTGTGAACCGCAGTTCTGGTAGTAATTTTTGTGTTCATAAGATATCAGAGCTGGGCCCTCCCTGGTGGCGCAGTGGGTTAAAGCACAGCACTGAGAACCTTAGGCCACTTCCACATGAGTTTGATCCCCGCCTCCCGCTGCTCCCCTCAGCAGTGTACTTCCTCTATCTGCCTGTTCTGCACCTCACTCTGTCTCTGGTGAATCCTCTCACCCTTCACATCTCTGGTCTGTACCCCAGTTCTGTAGGAATAAATAAATAAATCTTAAAAAAAAAAAAAGATATCAGAGCTTTAAAGATCTCTTGCAGGTCATCTTTTCAGTCTCCTCCTGGGAATGGCTCAAGAAAATCGGAATTATGTCAGGGCTTACCTAAAGAAAGATACGTAGTGGCACCATTTAAGTCTTCAAAATCTGCTTTGTGTTTATGTGTGTGCATGCATGCATGTGTGTGTGTTTGTGTACGCAAATGTAAAATCTGGTTAATTCTTTGAGAGTACAGTTAATAGGGCAACTTGCCTGGAATAAGGGCTTTTTGGATCTAGTCCACATTCCACCTTAACAGTACGGATAAGCCTCCTTTCTAAGATTCAATTTCCCAGGCTGTGATACAAGTGATGTGGCATTGTGTTGAGAACAAAGCTCAACAGTGATGCAGTGGAATGCATAAGCCTAGACAAGGAACCGGACAGGAAGACTTCTGGGAGGAGGAGAAACCCACCATCTGTCACTTATTGTGACACATAAATAAGGATGTGTAAGATCAACAAGGAGGAGGAAAAGAACATTCCAGTCAAGGACAACATGTACCAAGACTGCATATTTTCACAGAACTTGAAGTGGCATCTTCAGGGAACTGAAAATGTGAAGCTCAGGATAGTTAAAGTGGGGTAGAGAGCAGGCAGGGGATAGGTCCAGGGGGCTAGGAAGCCATTTTTAGCTGAGTAGCGAGAAGTTAGCAAAGGGAGCAAGCTGGGAAGAACCAAGATCTGGCCTGGGTATTTTTTTTTTAAGGCATTTCAGCAAAAACTGAGAGGATATACTGTGAAACTGACCAAAGTAGAGATTGGGGACTAACTACATCTAGAAAGCTAAAATGATCTTGATAAAAAATTGGGAAAGGGAGCAGGCAGGAGATACACTTAATCAGTGACTGAAGTATGAGATGTAGAAAACCCCCAACTTTACTGATTGTGGGGAAACATTTAGATGAGAATCAATCTTACAAGGGTAAACTCTTGGTCTCCCATTTCCTGACTGACATTAGTCATCTTTTTGCAGTGAGCCCTCTGAGACAAGCTTCTGACTGCTGCTCCTGGCCCACTCACATGCCTGCGATGGCTTTTAGTCATAAGACAGTCCCTTCTGTCACAAAGCAGAGAACATGTACAGACCTATCGTCATTTCCCTAAGGGCTAGGTTCCTTTTGCCCAGTGTGGCAAGAACAAAATGCCCAAGGGTGTGAATACAGAATCAAAAAGGGAGCTGCAAGTCCCATGTCCCAAGGCAGTCAGTGAGGTGGACATCATGAACAAAATCCAACTAGGTGCAAGAAAGGCTGCCCTATATGACATCATCTTCTCTAGGTAACCTTGCCTAAGCCTCACTAGCTCTCTCAGCCTCTGTGCATCCTTTGTGTCAGCCCCACTCACACTACAGTTGCCATTTACCTGAGTTGCCTCTCTGGTTGAATGATTGAATGATGGATCTGAACTTTGATACACACACACAAGGCAAAAAAATTACACCCACAAAAAGAATTGTTCTTTTTTTAAAAAAATTTTTTAAAGATGAATTTATTCATGCATACAATAATGAGGGTATAGGACAGAGGGGCGAGGGGTGAGAGGATTCACCAGAGACAGAGTGGGGAGCAGAAGAACAGGCAGATTGACTGAAATACACTGCTGAGGGGAGCAGCAGGTGAAACAGGAGAGGTCTGCTGTGCCATGTGGGTAGCTCCCTGGCCAGGGAGCAAACTCATGCTGCAGTGGCTGCAGACAGCTTCATAGTGCTGTGCTTTAACCCTTGTGCTACCAAGTAGGCCTGAGG